CATGGGATTATTCACCCCCATGCCCCATTTTATGTGGTACTGGGGACATACATAGCACTTATATTCATTCATATTACTAAATAATACTTGTAATATAGACTGGCCAAAACATTGAGTTGTGCTTACTCTACAAATTATATGAGCTCTTAGAGACTTAAATGCATGATATCAAAATGAAAAAATGGTCGTTTATCCATCCCAGAATCCAGGTGTGGTGGAGCACACTTTAATCCCAGTACTCAGGACAGAGATGTTCCTAGACATCTGTAAGTTCAAGGCTATCCTGATACAAATAATGAGGGTATAATCTTATCTTAAACTTTCCCACATCCCTACCTTGGATAATTTAAGTGGCATAGCGTTTTGGTGGCATTTGACAAATCCCTGAATTTTATTCCTATCACTACTAAAATTTAATTTTAGAAAATGTGTCCTTGATTCATGTTCTCCCTATCATTTCAACACTTTTTGTGTGAACTTGGACATCGTGAATGAAATTGGGGGTCTCAAGAATATCTAGAGATCTACACGCATGCATACTTCATCTCCCATGGCTCTCAATCATCTATACTTGGTTTTTCTATGAGACAGAAGCTGGGAGTCTTCTCATCACCCGAAACCTCCTTGAGGAAGAAAGAAGGGTTGTAGATACATGTTAGGTGGACAGAGAACAGGGTTTCATTGTTCTATTTTGGGGTACTGGTATCAAACCCAGGGCCTTTGGCATGTTAAAAGAGTACTCTGCACCTGAGCTGCATCCCAGCCACAGAACACACATGAGGGAGTAATTATAGAAGGCAGGTGAGATCCTGGAAGAACAAGTAGGATCTGAGCAGGTGCAGAAGGGAGGTGGTGACTAACTCAGAAAGCAGAGTGTGAAATCAAGATCGCCTCTGTCTGTCAAGACCATGGGCATGGAGGGGGCATGTGTGGCTGTGCCCTTGGGCAAAGGTAAGTAAAAGCAGTCTGGGAAACTCAGCTGTATAATTTGGGGCTGAACATTTTCAAACAAGTGTTCCAGTCAGGGGGTTGTGGTTTCAGATTCTTGTGAAGATTTATGTCCATGGATGTGATTTCGTTTTGTGAACTCAATGGCCTCCTCCTCCACAAATGGAGAAGACATAACTTTGAGGACTAACATTGCTAAACAAAACAAACAAACACAACCCTCATGCAAGATGGGGTTTGGGTGAAGGTGGGAGAAACTTCTGAGATGTGGGAATGACTCATTCATAGCTGTTCTCAGTCCTTTACTGTGAAACTTGGAGGGATCACAACTTAGAAGATAAACACTTTTTAAGTTTTGTGAATTTGAGTTCAGATCCTAAGTGTTTATTTGTCAGGTTTTGAAGCCTTGAGCATCTCACTTAACCTCTGAGCTTGTTTATGGTTTTGCTTTCTTGTAAGGGGTAGTAACATTACATGATTTTAGATATGCCTCAAACAGTAAGAGACTTGTAAACTGTCTGATATTGTGCCGATGGCTGTTTCTTGGTGGCTAAAATGATTTTCATTCACATTACATAAGTTTAAAAAGTGTTTTTTAAACTGCTACTGTAAATGTGATGACTCAGTCAGTAAAGACCCTTGCCACCAAACCTGATGACCCATGTTCAGCCTCCAGAATCCCACATAGTAGAAGGAGAGAACCAACTCCTGAAAGCTGTCCTCTGGCCTCCAACTGTGACACTAAATTCCCAAGCTAAACTCACAAAAATAAAAAGTTTCAAAAGATGCCATTTGGGTAGAGGGATGATGTAAACTACACTGTTTCATCACCTGTTAGCCATCTTCTCAGTTGGACTCCAAGTGGCTTGATAGGAAAGAATTCTGCACGGCTGTGTAGTTTGGGAAATGACAAGGGATGAAATGTTTTCAGTACTAGCAGTACTGTGTCAGTCTTAGTGATCTATTGCTCTGAAGAGACACCATGACCATAGCAAGTCTTTTTTTTTTTTTTTTTTTTTTTTTTTTTTGGTTTTTACGAGACAGGGTTTCTCTGTATTGTTTCAGAGGCTATCAGTCCAGCCCGGCCTCAAACTCACAGAGATCTGCCTGTCTCTGCCTCCCGAGTGCTGGGATTAAAGGCGCGCACCACCACTGCCCGGCCATAGCAAGTCTTACAAAAGAAGACATTTGACTGGGACTTGCTCACAGTTTCAAAGGTTTAGACCATTGTCGTCATGGTGGGAAGAATGGCTGCAAGCAGGTAGACACGGTGCTGGAGAAGTCGCTGGAAGTTCTACATATGGATCCTCAGGCAAGAGGAAGAGGGGGACTCTGGGTCTGGCTTTGCTTTCTGAAACCTCACTGCTGCCCACACCCAGTGACATGCTTCTTCCAGCAGGGCCACACCTTCCCCCACAAGGCCACACCTCCTAACCTTTGTACTAGTGCCACTGCCTGGTGACCAAACTTTCAAATCCATGAGTCTATGGGGCCATTCTATTCAAAGCACCACAGTGTCAAAGTTAGTCAGTTTAACTTTTCATTTTTACCTACGCCTAGAAAACACTAAATAGGACTTTATGACATTGCTCAGGTTTGCTTAAGATTTAACTGGACTAGGTGTTAGCAGAATACACAGTTCAGAGACTTAAGCACACCACTCACTTCCCTTTCCAAATTCCTCTATGTAGAGAAGGAAGCAGTGATTACACTCAGTAGTACCACCTTAGTTTACAATGTTTAAAATACCAAATGTAGTAAATATGTTTTAGAACTGTTTACCTGATCAAACTAAAAATTGTAGGTATAAATATCCCTGACCAAGTTACCTGGACAAACTGGGATTTCAATGCTTGTCCAGTTGAAGCGTCAGGAACACTCTCCTAATTGTTGCAGTTGTTGAGGGGCAGAACTGAATCTTCTCTTCTCATACCCCAGATAGCAACTCTCCTAAAATTTCAGATAGGAGAAATGGAAATGCTCTCCTCTTCTGCTCTTATAGCCCTCATGGCCAGCTCTCCTGACTGCTGCCAACAGTGTTAGATCTACTGTGCTGCTAATTTCACATGCAGGATTCAGTCTCATGAGTTCTACAGTTGGGGAGGGGCGGGTCCAGATCCTCCTAGTGCTGCCTCCAGCGAAGGGTGTGCTTCACTCTGTACATCCCCATCCTGTCTTCAGTGGTACCAGGAGCCACTGACATCAACAACACAGAGACTCTGGCAGGGCAAAGTATACAGACATGGCCTTTGACTGCAGCCTAGGCCCAGAGGACACTATGGACCCTGTTGGTAACATAGGTCACTCAGATCTGTATGACCTCATCAGAAGCACATCCCTTGGACTAACATGTTCCTATATGGTGACCCAAATCTCTATGTGTGTTTCTTGTTTGGCAACACAGGTCATGGACATACACAGATGCTGGCTGCATTTGCTACATGGACCCAGGCATGATCCTAGACCATGAATACCACCATGACCCTGGTTGGAAATGTAGGTCACTGAGATCAGCAAGGAAGCAACAACATGGCCCAGGATGGTCCAGGTGGTGACCCAGATTACAGGTATCTACAGTGTCTTGATAGCTCCACTGCTGGTCCTTAGACTCAGATGAAGTTCTTGGCAACAGTCCTGAGACAGATGTCACTACGGTCCTCAGTGGCATCACAGCACTCTTAAGACACATGCCCTTGTGGGAACATATCCATGATGTGGGAGGTCCTTCTGTGTGTTACAAATATGTATTGCTATGCTGGGTTAATGAAAAAAACATGTTTTGGTCAATGGACAGGCAGATTTAGGTAGGCAGGAATTCCAAAGAAAGAGGCAGGGAAAAGAAAGACAAAGGACAAACACCATGTAGCTACCAAAAAGGTGCAAGGCCTGGTCATTCTCTGGTATGATAAGGTCACATGGAGATACACAGATTAATAGTTAAGAGTTAGTAATTAAGAGGGAGGCAGTCAGTGAAAAACCTAAGCCATTGTCTACACAAGTATAAATAGATATTAAGTCTCAGAGTAGTTCTTTCATAGTGGCTTTGGAGAACCAATTGTTTGGTGAGAACTCGGTCCACTGGGACTGAGACTAGATTGAGAAAAATCTCCCAACATATCCCTTTGACTCTAATACAGGCACAGGTTTTGGTATAGACTGGAGGAGTTACAGATCTCAACAGAGACACCCACAGCTGTGTCAGGGACAAGGAGGAAGACATAGCCCTTGGCAGCATCCCAGGAAGTACATCAGTGTCATGGCCTGGATGGCAATCGGGGCTTGAATATTTTACATATTGCCTTAGTAAAGGTTTGTCTTTCCTGAGAGTCATAAGAGATATACTGTTTTGTTTCTCATTAATTTGTTCCAAATGTTTCATTAAACGTGTATACAGAATAGTATAGTTTAGGGATAGCTAAATGTATGATAATATGGATACACTATGGACACAAGTGGATATAGTCAGAGTTGGCAACACCATTCACATTCAAATACAATTCTCCTGTGTAGCCCTGGATGGCTGGGAACTGTGTAGCCCAGGCTGGACACCCAAGAGTTCTTGGGTTACAGGATGTTCTGGGTCTGTAGGAGTGAAAAACCAAACATGACTAAAGGTATTGTTCTTAAGAATTAAAAATGGGAAATCTCTTTGTCTGGAACAACTTAACATCAACAGAATCTTCCATGACAGATTTCCCATCACATAGGGAGGGCTAGGGACTCAATCAGCTTGCCAAAGCCACCAACAGCCCTACCCTCCATCTTGTACACCTCACAGGGGCCTCCTGCTGTTGAATGTCAGGGTTCTCAGCAATTCTTGTCTCAGGTTTAGTGTATCTCAGAGTTGTTTTTTATGCTTTCTTTTCTTCAGGAGAACTGAGTCAACAGACCCATGGTGTTGCACCTGCTGTGCGGCCTGCATTCGAGAATGTAGCAAGGTGGTCGGGATAGATGACACAGAGACCGGTCGGTTGCTTTAAGAAAACTTTATGTTTCTCAAGTCAGCTTAGGAGGAGACCCCAGTCCTTTTTCCCCCAAAGGGAAAAGCTGGCAAAATGAATTCTGTTGTTTTAAGGTGTATCAAAGGCTAGCTGCTAATCTTCCAGTTTTGTTGGCTTTGGGATGAAAACTCACGGGTCCAGGAGGTTGATGTAGCAAGCCTGATGAGACACTGGAAATCTCAAACTGACTTTTATTTCTTTCTTGGGCTGTATATTTGATGAAACCAACTGAGGAGATCTCGAACTGGCTTGAGCAGGCTCCCACGTTCTCAGGTCCAGTTTTCTCTGCTCCATGCATCTCACCAAATGTTGTGACAGCTACTGAAGCTTTATTCTTTTCCTGTAAGAAAACACAAACATGCCCTCGACCCCAAATTAGGGTCTTCTCTACTGTCTAGTGTATGGATGTTTCCATTTGACCTGAGTAATAGTTGTTTAACTTTCATTACGTCAGAATCTGTCTGAAGCAGATTCCTCACTTGCATTTACATTTTTAAAAATTTTAAATGAGGAGTGGATTATTTAATGAATCATGTGGGGACTGGGGACATTACTCCCCCTTTTATTTTTAAATTTTGTTTGAACTGTTGAAGTTGGATCATAACAGTAGAAGGATTTGTCTACCCTCCTTAGTCAACTATCTAGGTGAATTGGGATCACTATTTAAATTATTAGTAGATGCCCTTTAAAAGGGACATAACCACATAACCATTAAGTACCTTTGAGAATCATTTAAGGATTGTAAACTATACTATGTCTCAAATAGTCCCACCCCCTTTTTTTAACCTGTAGCTCTCACTAGCTGACAAGGCCTCGTTTGCATCTGAACTGACAAGGCCTAATTTGCATCTACACAGACACCTTTGGGGTTGGGGGCCTGCCAAAGTGGCAGGGCAGTTCCCTGAAAAAAAAACTCTCCTCTCTTTTTTTTTTTTTTTTTTTTGGACTGGCTCTGAGGGCTTAACTTGAATTTTTTGTTAAGATATTAACCGACTGACTGGATGTTTCTTTTGGCTATATCTAAATCGATTTAGGCTGCTTCTGTGACTGTGGAGGTGGGCGTGAAGCCCCTTGGTGGTGTTTTGGCACCGTGGGATCGGCTTGGCTTGGTGAGGTGTAGTGTGCCACGCAGAGTGACTCCACATCCGGAACATGGCTATGGATTGGCTAGGCAGCATTGTGTCGATCAACTGTGGAGATAGCTTGGGTGTCTATCAAGGAAGAGTGTCAGCTGTAGATCAGGTCAGCCAGACCATTTCTCTTACTTGGCCCTTCCACAATGGAGTGAAGTGTCTTGTACCAGAAGTCACCTTTCGGGCAGGTGATATTACAGAATTAAAAATCCTGGAGATACCAGGTCCTGGAGACAACCAACAGTTTGGAGACCTTCATCAGACAGAATTAGGCCCTTCTGGTGTTGGGTACCAAGTGGGTATCAGTCAGAATGGTACAGGCAAGGTGGTCAAGAAGCCAACCTCTTCTAGTAGTACCCCTCAGAACATCCCTAAGAGGACAGATGTGAAGAGCCAGGATGTTGCCGTTTCTCCTCAGCAGCAGCAGTGCTCAAAGAGTTATGTGGACAGGCACATGGAATCCTTGAGTCAGTCCAAAAGCTTCCGTTGTCGTTACAACTCTTGGTCATCTAGTAGCAGGCACCCAAACCAGGCAACCCCAAAGAAAAGTGGTTTAAAAAATGGCCAAATGAAGAATAAAGATGATGAATGTTTTGGAGATGACATCGAGGAGATCCCAGATACAGATTTTGACTTTGAGGGGAACCTGGCCCTTTTTGACAAGGCAGCTGTGTTTGAGGAGATTGACACTTACGAGAGAAGTGGCGCCCGTTTCCGTGGTGTCCCAAATGAACGCCCTGCTAGGTATCATCATGATGAAAACATCCTGGAGTCAGGGCCTATTGTCTACCGCAGGATCACAGTGCCACACGGTGCGAGCAAGGAGTTCTGCACGGGTGAGCTACATTGAGTGCACCATGGCTACTCTTCTTTTTCAGTTTGCTTAAAACAGAGAAACCCAATTGTTGAGCAAGGAGTTCTGCACTGGTGAGCTACATTGAGTGCACCATGGCTACTCTTCTTTTTCAGTTTGCTTAAAACAGAGAAACCCAATTGTTGAATCAGAAATTAGTGACTGGGCAGTTGATGCAATGTTATTGTCTGTTGGGGACGGTGACTAACTTGTCACAGGGCTATGGTGGAGCAGCAGTTTCAGTACTTGTCCCTTCACGTCCTGTATCTGGCAGATTCCATGTTAATCTTCAGTCTGGTTTCTCTGATAACTGTATTTCACCAGAAATATAACTCTGTTTATTAGTTGCAAGAAGAACTGTAGATGGATAAAATCCATGTGCTAAAATTGAAGTTTCAAGAAATTACATTTGTTTGTCCTACTGCCTTTATCTCTCAATATCTTGGTGTGGGTGTTTTGCTTGCATATAGTCTATACATGTTGCAGTACCCTTGGGCCCTAGAAGGGCAGCCAGTACTCCAGCCTCTACCTCAGTTAGTTTTAAGGTTTTTTTTTTGTTTTAGACAAGGTGTCTCTATGAAGCCCTGGCTGGCCTGATTTACCAACTGCCTATTCCTGCTGCAGCTCTCTGGGTTGTTGTCCTTGCGACTCTGCAGAGGTGGTTGGATTGTGAAGTAGGTGGTTTTTCTGGAATTATTTAGACCACATGAATTCCTGAGCTTGGGAAGATTATGGTCTGTATTGTAGTTAAGTGACTAAAAAGTAAGAGTCCATAGTGAGAATAAGGAAAACATTTCAGATTCCAAAGAACCTGAGAAGACATTTCCTAAAGAGACCAAAACAGAGGTGGTGATTTGTCTTAGTTAGGGTTCTATTGCTGTGAAGAGACACCATTGATCATGGCAACTGTTACAAAGAAAAGCATTTCATTGGAGCTGGCTTACAGTTTCAGAGGTTTAGTTCATTATCATCTCGGTGGGACCTCCAATTGTCGCACCTGCTGTGCAGCCTGCATCTGAGAATGTAGCAAGGTGGTCGGGATAGATGACACAGAGACCGGTCGGTTGCTTTAAGAAAACTTTATGCTTCCCAAGTCAGCTTAGGAGGAGACCCCAGTCCGCTTAGGAGAGAGCTCTCAGGAGAAGTCTCCAAGAAAAAGGAGCTTCCCTTTTTAAGGACTTCTGCCATCCATCTACATACCATTCTTTCCAGCCTTCTCACCTCCTGGCTGGTGGTTTAATCTCCGGCCCCAGAATCAGGGAGACACCGCAGGGGGGACAGGAAGAGACATCTAGCCGTAGGGGATGTCAAAGTCATGGTATCTCAGTGAGTGAGCCATTATCTGAGCCCTATCAAGAGCTTTAAAGCACTGAATTGTTTTCAGTAAACATTACACAGCTGCCTGCTACCAGGCCGAAGGGGAAGTGGGTTTCTGCTCAAGGTCTGGTCTAA